TACAGAAGACGGTCACACAAACTAACAGAAAGGTGCCAGACAGCAGTGAGAAGAAGACTGGGGCCCCTAAGAAACTTCACCCAGACGCCATTACTGCAGTAGTCAACAAGAGAAGATGCAACATAGATCCGAGGAGAGGGACGCTATACCACTAAAGAGCTTCTCCTAGACGCCACCACTGCGGGAATTATCCTCAAGTAATTATCAGTTCTGTTTACTCCGTCTCAACATTTTCAGGAACAGGTTAGTACACATTTTCGTCCTCTACCATCTCTCTTTCCATCATCTCTTCTCTCCCTCTCGCTCTCGTGAAATATTTTGTGGCTGCCGCGGTAGGTCAAGAAGGTTTTGTGGTTCACATCCTCCAACAATTCGCCTTCCCTGGTCCTCAACAAGAGGTATAATACTCACTCTGAGAGCATTTATAAGTCAATGCAACGAGCATCCTACAGTCACCTCTTTACCCCTGTCGCTGAAGACTGGGAAGGACTGTGTGAACTTTCTCTGAAGATTGGGAAGGACGGGGAAAAGTAACTTTCTCTGAAGGCTGAGATGGACAAGAAAAAAGTTAAGTTCCTCTAATGACTGAGAAAGACAGGACGAAGTAACTTCCTCTGAAGAATGAGTAGGACAGGAAAATGTAACTTCCTCTGAAGAATCAGTATGGCAGGAAAATATAACTTCCTTTGAAGAATGAATCAGATTTGGAAAATGTAACTTCCTCTGAAGACTCAGTTGGATGGGTCGATGACATTTTCACTGATGACTAAGAAAGACAGGGCAATGTAGCATTCTTTTAAAAATTGAGAATTACGTGGCGAACCAGCATCTTTTATCCCTGTAAGACTGTAGTAGAGAGCAGCGCATCTTTCTCCCCAGACTACTACCTTCCTAATAAGATCGTGCATCTTCCATCCAAGCCTGTACATCATCCTCCTAAGATCATGAATGTTCTTCCCAAGACCGTGAATACTAATGCAATGGTAGGGTATATCGACAGTAAATATGACACACACGGACTTTATCCACTGATGAAGTTGCCGGTAGACGAAAAGTCTTCACAATATGATGCCACGACACGCATTGGGTGTGTTGTTTACGTACAAGGCCTTGTATCTTCCTCTGAGGACGGTATAGTAAACGGTGGAGTGTCTGTCTGCTATGACTGTGTGTATGTTGACAAGGTGTGGTACAGGGCGGAGTACCTCTCCCCTTTACTCAGCCTTGACGGTGTTTATGGACAAGTCAGCTTCCTCTGACAAGCTGCTGGATGAATGTTTACTCTTCGAATATCCGCTGGATTTTGTATCCAATCCCCTTTTCCACCAGGAACCACTCGACTTTTCAGTTCAGTGCAATAGCTGACATCTACAGGAGAGAGAGAGAGAGAGAGAGAGAGAGAGAGAGAGAGAGAGAGAGAGAGAGAGAGAGAGAGAGAGAGAGAGAGAGAGAGAGAGAGAGAGAGAGAGAGAGCGTCTCTTTATTAGAAAACGTCGTATGGTACTAATGGATGATATACAGCTTCTTAAGGCTGACTCACTAGACATGTTTCTCAACAAAGCAAAAAGACCTTATTTCTTCCTCACTCTCTTCTTCCTCATCTTGTTCTTCCTCACTCTCTTCTTCCTCATCTTGTTCTCCCTCACTCTCTTCTTCCTCACTCTCTTCTTCTTCATCTTGTTCTCCCTCACTCTCTTCTTCCTCACTCTCTTCTTCCTCACTGTCTTCTTCCTCACCCTCTTTTTCATCCTTTCGTCTCCTCACCTCTTCAGCCTTTTCTGTCATCTTTCTCACCCTTTTCTCTTCCACACCCTCTCCTCTCTTCTTCCTCACCTTGTTTACTCTTCTATCTTCTTCCTCACTTTCCTCTTCTCTTTCATTCCTCATCGTCCTTTCCTCTGTTCTCTCTCATCCTTCTCTCCTCTCCACTTTTCATTTACTTCTTAAAAGTCCTCGACAAATGAGATGATAGTGAAATAGCTCAGAAAATACTTGCAATAACTGGAAGAATGAACACATGGATGTTCAAATATGTAACCATTAGGAACAACAGTGAACATAATTAAATCAGAGACATCCACGGTGAAATGTTCTCCAGCTCTGGGCATTATACTCGACCCCCCACTTCTTTTTCGTACCTGACACAGACGAATGTATGAATCACAGTGGGGGTATTCATCTCAATGGTGATACTAAACACACACACGCACACACACACAAACACACACACACACACACACACACACACACACACAGAACTGCAGGAGGCCAAGAGAAGAATACGATGAGAGCAACAGAGCAATGATCAACACACTAGCCGAGGTGGCCAGGAGAGCACACATGGGGGGAGCAAAGTTGCTAGTTATGGGTGATTTCAATCACAAGGAGATTGACTGGGAAAACCTGGAGCCCCATGGGGGTCCCGAAACATGGAGAGCCAAGATGATGGATGTGGTACTGGAGAACCTCATGCATCAACATGTTAGAGACACTACCAGAGAGAGAGGAGAGGATGAACCAGCAAGGTTGGACCTTGTATTCACCATGAGTAGTTCGGACATCGAGGGTATCATGTATGAAAGGCCCCTGGGAGCTAGAGATCATGTGGTTCTGTGTGCTTCGACTACATAGTTGAGCTCCAAGTGGAGAGAGTAGCAGGAATAGGCTGGGAAAAACCAAACTACAAAAGGGGAACTACTCAGGCATGAGGAACTTCCTTCAAGACATTCAGTGGGAGAGGGAACTGACAGGAAAACCAGTACAAGAAATGATGGACTATGTAGCAACAAAATGCAAGGAGGCAGAGGAGAGGTTTGTTCCCAAGGGAAACAGAAATAATGGGAAGAACAGAACGAGTCCTTGGTTCACCCAAAGGTGTAGGGAGGCAAAAACAAGTGTACAAGAGGATGGAAAAGGTACAGAAGACAGAGAACCAGAATAATAAAGAAAAGATAGCCGAAGAAGCCATGAAACGAATATGCACAGGAATAAGAGGGAAGGCTCAGAGACATATAAAATGACATATGCATCAAAAGTAAAGACTGACCGAAGCTGTTGTACAGCCACATACAGAGGAAAACAACAGTCAAGGACCAGGTAATCAGACTGAGGAAGGGTGATGGGGAATTCACAAGGAAATGACGCGAGAGTTATGTCATGAGCTCAACACAAGATTTTAAGAGGTTTACAGTGGAAACAGTAGGACTCCAAGAAAATCAGAACAGGGCACTACCAGCAATGCTGGAATGATGTACATTATAACAAGGAGGAGGTGAAGAAGCTGCTATGCGAACTTACACCTCAAAGCGTGGGACCAGACAACATCTCATGGGTCCTTAAGGGAGCAAGAGAATTGTGTGGCCATATAAACAAAGATCTCAACACATCATTTGAAACTGGCAACCCCTGAGTTATGGACAATGGCAAATGTAGTCCCAATTTTTAAAAAGGGAGACAGACATGAGGCACTAAACTACAGACCTGTATCACTAACGTGTAAGTTATGGCAAGGTCATGGAGAAGATCATCAGGAAGGAGGTGGTGGCACCTGGACAAGAAACAAGTGTAAAAATTGACAACCAGCACGGTTTCAGGATGGGAAAATCCCTGTGTACAAACTACAGGGGAGTTTATGACAAGGTGACAGAAGTAAGACAAGAGAGAGAGGGATGGATCGACTGCGTATTTTTGGACTGCAGGAAGGCTTTCGACACAGTTCCTCACAAGAGGTTACTGCAAAAGCTAGAGGACCAGGCACACATAACAGGAAAGGCACTGCAATGGATCAGAGAATATCTGACAGGGAGACAACAACGAGTCATGGTACGCGACGAGGTGTCAGAGTGGGCGCCTGTGACAAGCGGGGTTCCACAGGGGTCAGTCCTAGGACCTGTGCTGTTCTTGGTATACGTGAACGACATAACGGAAGGATAGACTCAGAAGTGTCCTTGTTTGCAGACGATGTGAAGTTAATGAGAAGAATCGAATCGGACGAGGATCAGGCAGGACTACAAAGAGATCTGGACAGGCTACAAGCCTGGTCCAGCAACTGGCTCCTTGAATTTAACCCTGCCAAATACAAAGTCATGAAGATTGGGGAAGGGCAAAGAAGACCGCAGACACAATATAGTTTAGATGGCCAAAGACTGCAAACCTCACTCAAGGAAAAAGATCTGGGGGTGAGTATAACACCGAGCATATCTCCTGAGGCGCACATCAATCAGATAACTGCTGCAGCATACGGGCGCCTGGCAAACCTACGGATAGCGTTCCGATACCTCAGTAAGGATTCGTTTAAGACTCTGTACACCATCTACGTCAGGCCCATACTGGAGTATGCAGCACCAGTTTGGAATCCACACCTAGTCAAGCACGTCAAGAAATTAGAGAAAGTGCAAAGGTTTGCAACCAGACTAGTCCCAGAGCTACGGGGATTGTCCTACGAAGAAAGGTTGAGGGAAATCGGCCTGACGACACTGGAGGCCAGGAGGGTCAGGGGAGACATGATAACGACGTATAAAATACTGCGCGGAATAGACGAGGTGGACAAAGACGGGATGTTCCAGAGATGGGATACAGACACAAGAGGTCACAATTGGAAGTTGAAGACTCAGATGAATCAAAGGGATGTTAGGAAGTATTTCTTCAGTCATAGAGTAGTCAGGCCATGGAATAGCCTAGAAAGTGATGTGGTGGAGGCAGGAACCATACATAGTTTTAAGGCGAGGTATGATAGAGCTCATGGGGCAGGGAGAGAGAGGACCTAGTAGCAATCAGCGAAGAGGCGGGGCCAGGAGCTGTGACTCGACCCCTGCAACCACAAATAGGTGAGTCCAAATAGGTGAGTACACACACACACACACACACACACACACAAGAATTTACTTCATAAATACAATACATAAATTAAAAACAACTAACATGAATTCCATTAATAATCAATAATTTTCACAGTTCTGTAGTTCCTTTAACTTTGAAAAGCAAGAAATAAGGCTACTCACTGATCTTCCCTTTAAGTTGGCAACCCTGCATGGCAGGGTGGCCAACCGTCCCGCGGTGACGGACACATTGGTTGGCAGGCCTGGCAGGAGGTGAGGGCCCCTCCTGGGGGGTCCAGCTCTCTCACTCTCACTCCAGTCAGTCTGCTCCTTCCACCCTGGCGGAGCAAGAGTCATTACCAGTGAGAAAGATTGCTTACAAGTGAGAAACAATGGTTAGAAGAGGGAAACAATGGTTAGAAGGGAGAAACAATGGTTAGAAGGGAGTAATAATGGTTAGAAGGGAGAAATAATGGTTAGAAGGGAGAAATAATGGTTAGAAGGGGAAAAATTGATTGGAAGGAAGAGAGATTGATTAGGAGTTAAAAGGAGAAGTAGGAAGAAATAGTAGCTAGTAGGTAAAGACTGGCTAAGAGCGAGCTATATTGGTTGGAGGGAGAAAGATTGGTTAAAAGTTAGATATATTGGCTAGGAGGAAGATTGGTTAGGAGTGAGCTATACTGGCTAGTAGGTAAGAAGATTAGCTATTTCACAGAGCCGACAAAAATAAATAGGAAATTTACAGCAAGAGAGAAAAAAAAAATTGGTAGCCTCGGCAATACATCTGGACCACTGAGGTGTACCTGGGTGAAGCTCTTCACTCCAGCTCTCCTTGATTCAGATCGTGATCCTCTTACATCCAGCCACACAGCCTCATCCTCTTGACAACAGTCAGCATTTCGAAGATGCTGAAACAGTCAAATGGGTGACTGTTGGCGAGCCATAAATAGTGATTATCTGACAGCATTTTCCAGCGCCCCGGAGGGTTCATCTCGACTCCTCGTGCTTTTCAACTTTTTATGGCCTTTATTTTGCATTTCGCTCGTTGCCATAGTGGTATATTATAAGTGGGTAATTTTAATTGATAGATTATAATATAGCCTAACCTAAATAACGGAAAACAAGAAATTTGCTGGAAACTTTATGTGAGAAAACGTCGTAAGATTTTCGAGTCCGGGTCACATCCACACCATGAAAATTATTGAATGTCGGATTAACACGATGGGTTTCGTGTGTTCAGACTTGCTGTGTCACAATACTCCACATGAAGGGTGTTCAGACTTGCTGTGTCACAATACTCCACATGAAGGGTGTTCAGACTTGCTGTGTCACAATACTCCACATGAAGGGTGTTCAGACTTGCTGTGTCACAATACTCCACATGATGAGTGTTCAGACTTGCTGTGTCACAATACTCCACATGAAGAGTGTTCAGACTTGCTGTGTCACAATACTCCACATGATGAGTGTTCAGACTTGCTGTGTCACAATACTCCACATGAAGGGTGTTCAGACTTGCTGTGTCACAATACTCCACATGAAGGGTGTTCAGACTTGCTGTGTCACAATACTCCACATGAAGGGTGTTCAGACTTGCTGTGTCACAATACTCCACATGAAGAGTGTTCAGACTTGCTGTGTCACAATACTCCACATGATGAGTGTTCAGCCTTTTTATGTGACAATACCCCACATGAAGGAAGAACAAAACCTACAAGTTATACAAGTCCTTCATACCCGTGTAACACCCTGTATCAAGGAAGATTCCATATATGTAACGTCTTACTTAAGGAAAAAATTATCCTGTGAAACTATCGTAGGGTTACGACCTCCATAACATAGATGTTACTAACCCTATAACCCACACTCTCTGTAACGTTAGCGAGCCTGAGACGTTCTTGGTATACGTTGAAGTCTGGGGCGTACGTCACTCAAATTATTGCTGCAGCAAATGCGCCTCTGGCAAATCTGAGACTAGCTTTTAGACATCTAAGTAAGGAGGCATTCACTACACTGTATACCGAGTAGGTCAGGCCCATATTGGAGTTTGCAGCACCAGTATGGAACCCACACCTGGTCCAGCAAGTCAAGATACTGGTGAAAGTGCAGAGGTTTGCAACGAAACTAGTCCCGGAGCTAAGATTCTATGAAGAGAGGTTTAGGGAACTCAGCCTGATGACGCTGGAGGACAGAAGGTCTAGAGGTGATTTGATAACAACGTACAAAGTACAAAGTGCTGAGAGAAACTGATAGGGGGAATAAGGACAGAGGGTTTGAGAGACTGGCAACAGGAACACAGATGAGTCACACGGATGTTAGGAAGCATTTCTTCAGCTTTAGATTAGTCAGGAAGTGTAACGACCTGTAGAATGAAGTGGTAGATGCAGGATCCATACATATCTTCAAGAAAAGGCACGATAAGGCTCTCGAAGTCAGAAGAGAGTGTGAATAAACGGTTGTAATCAGATGTGATCGATCACATCTATCGTAAGGGTTCTTAAATGGAGATATCGTAGGTTGAAAGTAGACACACTTGTAGGATGGTAAATATATTGTCAGACTGAGATGAGAGATGGAGCCCGGTGCCAAGCCTGTTCACGTCTTGTAGGTCTGCCGCCGAGTGAGGACGGGACAGAGGGATCACTGCCCATGTGTATCCCTATGACGTCACACAAAGCCAAAGGCCTACGAGGGATCTCGTGTCTAAAGCACAGGGATGATACTAATATGCTATGCTATATAATACTGGGAATACAGGGATCAGCAACTATGCTGACAGCTCGGTCATGTTACGTATGTCGTCCCGACATACACTACTATACTATAGGCTGAACAGGCAGGCGGATCTGGGCTGATTCTATACAATAACAAATGCATATATAACTTAGAACTAATGGATGGTACAACATGATTTTGACGTAATGGGTGTTAACGTAATCATTACAAACTATAAGAACAAATCATTATACAATATGGATGGAATTGATCGATCGATCTGTATTCATGCACTCTACGGATTCTGAGGAAGAATAATTATATACAAAGAAGTGTTTAACAGAAAGGCAGATTCGGTGCACACAAATCTAGACTGTTAATTCTCAGAATACGGAGGGAACGTGAACACGAAAATTTCTGACAAACTGAACAGCTAATAATAAAACACACAATTGACAAATTCATTCATCTCGGACATCTAATTATGCAGGCTGTTTACACTTAAACCCAATTCTGCGAGGGTAAGGTTTACGTATGCAGAATGGTTATCATCTCTGGGAGGATCGAATTCCTCTGCAATGGCTAACACATGCCTTGACTGAGAGAGATCTGAACGAGTATCTACAAAAGATACAACTACAATCACTAGTGACTGTGGAATTACTAACTCGTCTGCTAGGAGTACTCAACTCGACTATTCGATACAGTAATTCTTGGCTCGTTACAAAGTCACTAATGGGTACTGGTGGCTTCACAGTATGAATAAGATCTTCCTGGAGCAGGAATCGAATCACACCAGAACACAAGGGATCGGTTCTTTGGGAATTTCTGACAACCTCGACAGTAAATGGAGGATCTGCAGTAACTACACTAACGTGTCGCGATAAAGCATCTGCGACTACATTTGACTTGCCAGGTAAATTTTCAAAAGTGGGATTGAACTCTTGGATAGTCAAGGTCCATCTGGCTAACCTTCCAGTAGGCTGTTCGTTCTGGAATAAAGGTATCAGTTCTTCCTTACTGGAGGAAAGAACAAACTCGGTGGAGTGGATGACTCCCCGGTTGAAAAAAATTAACGCTATAAACACGCAATATGAGCAAGGGAGAACGAATCTACTATCTCAACTGCAAGCACAGGAGAAAGAAATGAACACGGTGAACAATGCTGATATTCAATCTGAGTCGCACACAGTGACACGAGGTATCAGCTATAAAGAAACTACACTTACAAACGTTAACATGTGAAAGTTACTCGAGAAATAACTTCTTACAATGCACTGATTACTGTCAACTAGGATGGGATCACCATCTGAAACATTAGGAACAACAACAGACACTCTAGTGAGAACACTAGCTGTAACAGAGACGTCTTTCTGCAGACAGCATGTCACATCAACAAGAGATGGCATTACTAGTTGCAAGTAATCGTTTTCTGACAAGGCATCCCCTGTGGAGAAACTATTACTCGAACTAGCAGTCATTGCAGGGATAGGCTGTGCATCAAGGCAGTCTGAGTGTCCCCGGACACTTGAGGCAACGGAACACTATCCTGCAAGTCTGAAGGTGTAGGTGGAACAGATGGGAGTGACAGAATTACTAGTGCCTGACCGCTCGGCTACGTTAATAAGTAATTCACGGATCTATAGGAACTTAATCTGAACTTCACATTTCGCAGCACTTTAACAAATCTCAGATACAAGCTGTGAGAACAAACACATTGCTCAAGGGCTAGGTATTGTCTTTCAGTCAGTAAGGGAATGTTGGTACTGTGGACTGATTCATATTGACTTTGACTGGAATGATACACTAAGTGAACATTCAAAAGTGACTGGGACATCTTCTCAGTGAAAATACTGAAGGGCATAAGTCAAGAAAAATGGAGAGAATGACACAGTAAGCTTAAATGGAAAAAAATGCTTAACTATTCTGCATAAGTAATTAAAAATTGACAAGTTACACAGTAAGCAAAGAACTCACACAAGAATAATATGCAACTTAACAAACACTGAAAATCAAGAGAACTTGTACTTTGCTCAAATCTAATATGCTCAACTTTTACTTTAAATTGAATAAATGGCACAGTGAGTTGTCTTTACTTTCAATGCAACAAGGAAAATATACACAATAAAATAATAAAATGGACTCAATAAACTTGTGCAAAAATTAAAACAAACACACAATTCACTGAAATTAAAAAAAAAAATAAAATGACAGACAGAATAAAATACTATGGACAGAACAGAGCATAAGAAACTGCACTGTAATAAACTGTATTGCACAACACTGCATAAAATTTTCTGCAAGAAAAACTTTAATAGCAACACAATATTTTCACAAGAATTATTGCAAAATGAGTCAATGTGCAATAATAAAAATTATAACACACAAGAAAAGAAATATATCAAGGAATGAACACTTTAACTCTTAACTGCACTTAAACAACAAGCAAAAGAACAATTTACTTTAAAAGGAGAACTTAAAAATTGCACTAAGAGTGAATTTGTTCAATAAAATATGAAAAATAATAGGTGCTAAAACACACAACAAAAAGGAATACAACACTTACAGAGATGCAGGACACAACACATCAACACGAACACAGTACTAGAATTTTCTTGCAATG